TTCGTTCTTTACAGGTGGATGCGATGTGTGACTATTGTGGAAATGCGGAGGAGGATGCTAAACATCTCTTTGTTTCATGTTCACTGGCGAAATATGTCTGAGATCATTTTCCCATTAACATTCGCTATGAAGAAAGTGGATCTACTAGTCTTGATGAGTGGATTCAAAAATGTATCCTGCTGTTTTATAGTTAGTATGGAATTGATAGTACGAATATTCGTACTTTTGTTGCTACTTTATGGGGCTTATGGGTTAATAGGTGCCAACGTGTATTCCAAGGCACGAATGGTTATCTTAGAGACCTTTATTTGAATATCTCTGAGGCTTTGCGATGCATGGAAGAATTCAATAAGCCGGATGTTAGACGGTTAGGAACCCTAAGGGTTTACGATGATAGTTTGGAGGCACTTTCTGCCTTTCCACCGGGGTTCAGTCAAGTTTTTATTTAGGAAAACTTAAATAATCTATCGGAATGATGGGTGTACGTCAGGGTTGTTTGCTCAGAGTTGATGGATCATGGGATAAGCGTCAAGGTCGATTTGGTATAGGATGGACAACTAGCTTTGGAAGTAATGAAGATCTAGAGGGAGGTGGTGATTTTGGTGTGGGTTTTTCGGCTTTGCACGCAGAGGCTCTAGCTGTTTTGGAAGCCATTAAATGGGAAATTCAAAGAAATTTTACTGGACTCTGAGATCCTTATTTCTATTTTGCGAAAGTCGTGCCAAAGAGACATTAACCTTCATTGGACGTTTGTGGAAATAAGGAGTTTGGGGAATCAAATAGAGCTTTGCAACATTCCCAAGGTTTAAAGGGAGCAAGTGCACAGTGCTCATCGGGTAGTAAATGCTTGTAGGACTAGTCTAGTTGAATTTTCGAACGCTTTTATAGTTTAATTTTGTTAGTTTTGCTGTTATAAAAAAAATAAAATAAAATAAAAGTAAGTACATAAAACAGAAATCAAATTACAAAGATAAGTATTTTTTTTTTAATGACTTAACTTCACAACAGCAACTTATACATAACATAGGCATAAACATAAAGCAACTTACAACTCAAGAAAGAAAACAGGAATAATTTATCAACAGGATATCTCAATTTAAAGAACATTAGATGCCCTTCATATCAACACCTATATATTGAAGAGGGCTTTCCCTTAATTTCCAAACAACCATCCTTCTCTTAATATATATTGAATAAGGTAACTTAAGGAAAATAAATGGCAATCAAAACCAAGACTACCTCAACCTCTGCATCATCTTCTTACGTCGATTTCGAACCTGCTTCTGATTTGGTGAAAGAGGAAGGACTTGAAACTTTGATCATCCATCTTCCTGGTATTGTCATACCTTTCTAATATTTGCATTGCTTTTTTACTACTACCTCCGTTTCATATTTTTTGAAACTTTGAAATATTTTATATTTCACAAATAATACCCCAAAGTTGCAAAAAATATGAAACGGACGTAGTATAGCTTTTGAATTGGAATAATAGGGTGTCATCTAAAGAAGCGATAAAAAAAGTTATTATTCTTGCCTATATTACTGTGCATTAATATACTCTCTTTGTCTTATAATTTTTTAAAAAAAGGAAGGCATGCATGCAAACCAACTTCAAAAGAGGTAAAAAAAAAAAAAGAAATAAAAAACTTTACCAATGATTTTACATATATACTCAAAGAAAGAAGCAAGAAATTTATTTATTTATTATTTTTTTTTCATGAATTTGCATGAATATATACAGACTTTAAGAAAGAACAATTGAGGGTGCAAGTTAACAAAGATGGAGTCCTTAGAATAAATGGCGAAAGACCAACAAATGGAAATGGAACAAAGAGGAACCGTTTTGTAAAGGAAACTAAAGTTCCAGAGGGCTGTGATGTAAATGAGATTCGAGCCAAGTTTATTAACGGCCGCCTAAATATCACAATGCCAAAGAAAGTGGTTACTACACCACCAGCTCCTCAAGTCATCCAAGATCAAAAGCCGAAGGCTGAGGTTACTAATGATCATCAAAAGCCAAATGGTGAGAATGGAGGCATCAAACAAAAGCTAAAAGGAAGAAGTAATAAGGTGGCCTTAGGTTTCGGAATTGCGGTTGTGTCAATGGTAGCAATTGGAGCTATTGTGGCTTCTAAATTTGGGTCTGAAAGCAGTTCTTCTCCTTCTATGTTTAGTAAGGAGTAAGGATTAATGCAAACTAACTAATCCTAATTCTTCTATATAAACTGTATATAATGTTAACTAAGTGTACATAAACATTTATAGCTTGAATAAAAGGATGGAGGATAAATTGATGAAATTTCTTTAATTTTAATTTTGATTATGTGCTCAAGTATTTTAAATCCAAAGGATTGGACATGGTTGTGCAATTATTAGGGGTGTCCATAATTTGGATAAAAACCGAAATCCAATCCAATCCAAACCGAATTATCAATTCGGATCGGATCCGAACTTTAAATCGGATCGGATCGGATTGAGATTTTTTGGAAATTCGGATTTTCGGATTGGATCGGATTGACCCTAATTGGATCCAATCCAAACCAAAAACCGAATTGTAAAATTAAGCTTGTATATTTTGTATATTTTGAAGTTTAGCTCAAATACATAATACTACATAAAATAAATTAGAGAGACTTTGTATTAATTAATTGATGACTTAACGTTGAACTGTGTATTTTAATCATGATTTTGAAGACTTTTATTTATAGTAAAGCTTTATTTTTATAATTGTATTAGGCGCTAAAAAAATAATGTATTATAATTCGGATTTTCGGATCGGATCCAAATAACCGAATTTTAATTCGGATTGGATCAAGAGAGAAATTCGGATCGGATCGGATTGGAAAATTGAAAACCGAATTATATTTCAGATTGGATCAGATTTGGACTAAATCCAAACCGAAAACCGAACGAACACCCCTAGCAATTATAAGGATGGTTGATAAATGGATGAAATTTCTTTAATTTTAATTTTGATTATGTGCTCAAGTATTTTAGATTCAAAGGATTGGACATGTTTTTTTTTTTTTTTTTTTTTTTTTTTTTTTGATGTTTTGAGAGCTACAAGGACAGGGGTGAGGATTGGACATGGTTGTGCAATTATATTTATAGTATCTATGGCTCTTTCTAGTACACTTTTGCAACATGGTTGATTGTTACGTAGATTAAAGGTGTTAAAATCGACCTGAATAAATAAATAAATCATCCGTTTTGAATTGTAACCAACCTGATTTGACTCAAGAAATTAAGAACCCAAAACTCGACCTGAAACCGACCTAAACTCAACTAGAATTTGTACTTGGTCCGATATGAACTAAACCCAACACCAATTTAACCTAACCTGAACCCAACCGAGCACTGATTTAACCTAACTTGAATTCAAACTGACATTAGCTTAACCTGACTTGAACTCAACCTGATCTGAAATCGACCAAATAAATACCAAATTCAATCTGATCTATTTTGACCCAACCTGATCATAACCCGCACGACCTGTTTTTTAACCTAACATGAATTCTAACCAAACCTAATTTTAAATCCAACCTATTATTAAACTTCCTTTTTTTTTTCTTTATTACTTAAACATAATTACTTCAATTCATGTAATTGTTTGTTTCATAAATCATTAAGAACTTTCTATTTTTAACTTAAACATAACTCTACTATTTGTGGCTATCATCTATCAATTTGTCGTTCATTACTTATCGTCTCACTTATATAGCTATGATAAGTCATCGATAAGTTTAACTTTTATTTGGCTTAAAGATATTACTGATACAAGAACTAATTTAATGAGAAAATTGATAAGTGCTAATGGCACAATATGAAAGATGACACATGAATGACCTAATAGTGACCCAATAACAAGGTAATAACTCAACAATTACTTTGGTTAAATTTGACCTTATTTGAATATTTAATTTGTCAATTCAATCCAAATTCAGCTAAATTTGTAAAGGATTTGAATCAGAATCAACCCATAATTGATTCAACCTTAGCCTATCCTAATAAAATTGAACCGAACTTAAGCGGATCGAAACCAACCCAATCAGTCATTTGACCCGTAATTAACTCAATCAAAACCCATATTGAACCCGATACGAATTTATCAAAACTAAAAATGAACTGATCTGAATTAAATCCAACTCAAACACAACCCTAACCCGACAGCTCTTGCCCTAAAATTAACACGATCCGAAATTAACTTGACTCGAATTGACACGACCTGTCATGGTTCAACCCAGACTCCATCCAGTTACTCGAATTGACACGGCTAACGTGCATCATGAGGGACACGATTTTGTCTTCTTGTAAGTACTTTAGTCGAATGTGATAACCAAAAAAGTTTACGATCAGATTTTAACTTGACCTAGTATTCAACTAAAGTACTTACAAGTGGATATTACCCCAATTCTTCCGACCTACTATTTGACTAAAGTACTTACCAGAACCTGGGCTGATATTAACTAGACCTCGACCTGATTTTAAGCCAACATATAATAAAGGAACTTAAAAGGAAGATAACAAATTTTACGAAAAAACTTTTTAGGGACCAAAATTCCTAGTTACATACTTCGTATTACAATTAGAACTTTACCACAAGTTCTTAACCAAAACCTGTCTACCAGTCCTAACCGAAACTCAATAAGCACTACCCGTAAGTTGTCCAATTTGAATCCCAGATTCAAATCCCCGGTAGCAATCCTATCCTATTGCAGCCTCATACTATGGCATCCAAAAAATAAACAATTATCGAATTTTGATCGACAAAAAATAGATATTGGCTAGATGATAAGCAGCATTTGTTTGAAAAAAAAAAAAGGGAATAAACTTCCCCTATTAGCTAGGACTTAATGTACTTAATTATTTTGATTATATGAAAATGTGTTGTTAGTGTTTTACATATATTTCTATAACAAGGCAACATGCTACTTGCTACATAATACAACATAGGCAAATTCATAAAGCAACTTTAAGGTCAAGAAAGCAAAGAGGTATAATCATTCTGCAGGAAATCCTAATCTAAAAATATAAACTTATAAGATGCCTTTCATATCATCACCTATATAAACAACATTATGGCATTCTTCCTTGAATATCCACACAATTATCCTTCTCTCAACATTTGTAATATACATAGTAGTAACATATAGTACAAGAAATTTAACGAAAACAATGGCGGCAAACAAAACCAAGACTTCACCTTCTTACGTCGAGTATAATCCTGCTTTCGAATGGCAGAAAGAGGAAGGTCTCGAAACTTTGATCATCTATTTTCCTGGTATAGTCAAATTTCTCTACTTCTTTGTTCTGCTTTTAAATTTTGTTTAGTAAACACAAACATTTAATAACAAAGGTGACAAGATTGTTTCTATATTTGAATGGAATCAATTTAGGAAGAGCATAAATTCTCATCATTTCTTTTATATGCGCATATAGACTTCAAGAAAAATCAACTCAGGGTGCAAGTTAGTAAAGATGGAGTCCTCAAAATAAGCGGCGAAAGACCATTAACTGCTGATGGAACAAAGAAGAGTCGTTTTCTCAAGGAAGAAAAATTACCAGAGGTTTGTGATATGAATGATGTTCGAGCCAAGTTCACTAATGGAAGCCTTCACATTGCGATGCCTAAGAAAGTTACACCTGCAACTCCTCAAGGCACCAAGCAGCAGCCTGCATCATCAAGACTGTCAGCTCCTCCTCAACCAGAGGTTACTGATAAAAAGCCAAAAGCTGAGGCAGCCACGGTATCAGATGATCAAAAGGCAAAGGGTACAAGTACAGAACATGGTGCAATGGCCGGGACAAGTACTTATGCACAGCCAAAGGCTGATCAAATGTTTGAGCATGGAAGCATAATGCAAAGGAAACAAAGAAGTAAGAAGTGTGCTTTGGGATTCGGAATTGCAGCTGTGACAATGATAGCTATCGGAGCTTTCGTGGCTTCTAAATATGGGTCTAATAGCATCTCTTCACCATCCTTGTATATGGATGATACAGGACTTATCTAAACTCCAAATGTTGTATATTATTCTCTCTTCCATTGGATTGGGAAAATTCACATATGAACTTGGACAAATGTATAGATAGATTTCCAGGCATGAATAAATGTAAACTTTGGTACATAAATTGATGAAAATTCTAAAGATTGTGTTCCTTTTAATAACATACTAGATCCAAATTGCTAAACTGCATTTGCATCTCCTACAGTTTATGGAAGTCTATAGTAACGGCAAATTTCTCATAAATGTTTCAACGCAAGCAAATTCTGCGTTTCACTACCCTAAGTACCACCCTGTATTAATCCCTGAGCTCCCTGATACATCTGTCAATAAGTCTCCAAATAACTCGAAACACCCTGAAGATAAAAAGCAATTCAGGGTCATAAATTCGGCATGCCCCCTACTCTATAACAGTACAGCAATATTCTGCCTTTGCCTTGGTTTTCAGGTAAACATCCATGTTCGTCAAAACCAAAATGCACCATGATTTTAAACCACATCATGTACTTTTATAGAGAATTTCTACTGAAAGTCCTTTGAAAAGTTACAGGAGATCTCCAATTGCATCTATGCATCTATCAATTATGTAAACTGGTGTACCCATAAAACAATGAAATAGATCTCCAATTGCATCTATCAATTATGTATCTTATATGGCACCATTGTGCCGTCTGAGCATTATCTTAACTATTGTCCTGTCTTTCCAAGTACAACCACGCTCAATAACTTGGCACTACCCGTTCAACTATCAATAACTAGACTAGCTAAGATCCGGCAGGGGTATAGTTGTGTCACTTTGGTTGGGATTAAAAAAATGTTCGTGTTAGATAATATGTTAATATGTAAGTTGTTCAAATTGTCAAACTAAATGGTCATATGCAGCATATTAAACACAGAATACAATCCTCTAATATTAGGTCCATGCTTTTTGTCTTTCCTTGTTTTGGGGTACCAACAAAAAATGGAAACAGGGAAAGCCTTGCATGAAGGCCTTGTTTGGTAAAGAGATGATTGATGAGATTTTAGTTTTTTTAGAGCAATTAGATGGTTTGACCACTAATAAAATCAGCTAGTTTTGGTGTTTGGAAAATAGATGATTTAAAGAGAGCATTGGAATTCATTTAATAAGCTAATTTGAAAGTTCTATTCAACCGTATTTTGTAAGAGGTTTTGGAGCAATTCTTGCAATAAGCTACTTTGGTGATTGGTAAAGTAGGTGATTTGAATTAGTTAGTCAAAGCATCTAATGCAATAAATTAGTCAAACCAGCTAATACAATCACTTGTATCAACCAGTTACCAGCTAATTACCAAACAAGATCGAACTGTTTATGTTTACAAGATTAAACCATGGATCGACCAAAATGGTATCCCAATGACATCAACAATCATCCAAAATCCTAGAAGTTATCCCAAGAATGCTAAGAGTCACTCCTCCAATGAGCAATGGATCAATACCTTCTTTACTTTATAGAGCTTGGCTTAGAGCTTAGAAGTAGCAGAATTAGGCACATTGCTAAACTCTTGAAGAGTAGATCCTAAGTAATATACATTAGAGCTCTACGAAGTAATTTGAGTATACAAAATCAATCATTATTTTATAAACGTTTGAAAAAAGCTATCCGATTCCCCCAAATTAACAGTAGTATTGCGTTGTAATTAATAATCATAAAGTGATTATGTATTTGTTTAATGCATAACCTTTCTAAACCTCCAAAATCTGTCACTGCCTATTCTGATCAACCAAATATAAAATCAGAAGCAACCGCGGTCCATGGGTTTGCAACAGGAAACGTGTGATTAACCAAAAATTCTATATGCAAAGAAATCAAGAAAGTTAGTATGCAAAAGGAATATAGTATGCCTTTGCAGCAGAAAGTCAGCTAATCACAACAAAAGATATAAAGCAACTTAAAACTCAAGAAAGCAAACAAGAATAATTCCTTTCAGAGGAAATCTTAATAGAAGACTAAAGAGATGCTCTTTAAAACCATACCTATATAAGGGGTTCGGGGCGTTCTTCAATCAGAATATCCTCACAATTAGCTATATCTTCGCAATCAACACGTTCTTGTATATACAAAAGCTACAAACAACCGAAGCCAATGGCAAACAGAACCAAGACTGCAACTATTTCATCGCCTACTTACATCGATTTTGAACCTTACTGTGAATGGAAGAAAGAGGAAGGAACTGAAACTTTAGACTTCCATCTTCCTGGTATGTTTTTATTTTCACTAGTTTCTTCTTTTTTGTAATTTCTTTGCCTTTTTTTATAGGGAACAAATTAACTAAATTTGATTTTGTATGAATGTTAAACATATACTAATATGCATGACTTGAATCATTTCATTATATCTCGTTATTCATAGATTTCAAGAAAGATCAACTAATAGTTCAAGTCAATAATCTTGGAGTTCTCAAAGTAAGCGGAGAGAAGCCGGCAACTGCAGATGGAACCAAAAGAAACCGTTTTGTCAAGGAAACAAAGATACCACAAGGCTGCGACATAAATGACATTCGAGCAAAGTTCAGTGGCGGCCACCTTCATGTTACCATGCCGAAAAAAGCCTCTCCCCAGATTGAGCAGCAGCAGATGAAGCCAGAAACAACATCATCAAGTGCTCCAAAACCAGAGGTTACTCAAAAGCCGACATCAGAAGCCCAAGCTCCTAAAGCAGAAAAGCCAAAGGCTCCAAGTTCAGAGAATGGTAAAGCAGGAACAAGTACTAGTTATGATCAGGCAAAGGGTGACAACAAGTTTGGGCTTGGAAGCTCCGTGGGAAGATTGCAAGTGCATAAGAAGGTGAACGTGGGTTTAGGAGTTGCAGTAGCAGCAGTCGTCGCAATTGGAGTCTATGTAGCTTTTAAATATGGATCTAGCTCTTCTCCTCCTTCAAATATTGAGGACTAAGGACAGACATGGCATCAAATAACTTGATTTACACCCTATGTGTTTGTGTATCGCCTTTAAGGCTTTAACAAATGGTATCCTAGATCAAACCAGGGTACAGATAATTTAATGCATGACAAAAATGCATCAAGAAATGAATAATATTATTTTTCTATCAAGTTTCCATTTTTTTTTATCATAATAATTCTAGGGATGAAGTGCAGGGATGAATATATTTGTTTTATAGTCAGTGATTTCAAGTAATAAGGGTATGATGCCCAACGTCGCAAGGATAATGACTTAATGAGCTACAATTGACTAACAATCTAGATGTAATAGCAGGATACAAAGGATTTCTGATTCCACAAGCAACCATTACTCCAACTATTGGATGTTAGGGAAATTTACCACTCCAATTGAACAATTACAAGAGATCTAAAAACTATTTGTCATGTTACCTAGCTGAGATATAGACAAGATCAGCCTCGAACATCAATAGCCATGTATAACTAAAATTAGTTCCATTAAAATTGGGTGGAGTTATGATCAGCGACTAAAATACATCTGAGCTTCAAAGTCTTGACTCTTGATCATGGCCATCTATCTAATGCCAGATGCTCAGTATGACAGCAATGCTAAAGAGGAGGAAAAGCACCATATTTCCTCCAGGCAAAGAAGACCTGTGATTCAAACAGAACAATTTAAGAGCCTTAAAAACATTAATCAATCTAGAAAACTTTAACCAAAAATTAATCTTGAAAGCTTGAAATCTATCAACTTTGTTTTAACCGGAAACCTAATTCTTAAACGCAATTACATAAGATGATATGAACCCTTAACACCATGCCACCTCCACTCTCACGCCAAACAAAAGTGCCACAGACAATGTGGTTCCGGTAGAAGCAATACTTATCAAGTCAAGAGTATCTTTTATTTGCCTTTGATTTCAGCATAATCACTAACTTTATTTTTCTCATTTACTGAGACTCCAAATCATGTGATTTCCCAAGACAGTCTATGTCTAACTAAGAATTGTTCATTATACTGCATTTTTTTTTTTTTTTGAAACCATCATTATACTCCATATCAATTAGCAATATAAAGGATATCTTTAAGTTCAATATGTAAACAACCAAACAAGGATACAATAGGCTCAAACCTCCACATAAAACACCTAACCGCTAGTTGCAAGGAATCCTATCACCCCTACTTTTTAGGAACGGTGGGACAAAGGAAATCTAAGCCAGCAAGCAGATTATAACATTGTCTTAATTCTCAACTCATCAGAATTCTAATTGAGACTCTGAACACAACTCATCATCAAGCAGATTGAAGTTCCACTCTATTTTTCTTACATATTTTCCTTTTAATTGCGTTTCCTTCTAAAATTACAGAGAACAGCTATTAATATCTTGAAATAAGAGTGAATATACTGATAGTACCTGAATTTTCTTCGGGATTTATAAATATATGCCATGGCTGGAGGAAGAATGCCAAACAGAAAACAATTTGCATAGACCCCAGCAAAGTCGAGAGCCCTTGAGAATGTCGATGGATAGAAGGAAGCAACAAGAACTGGAACAAGAATTAGAGCACCAGACACAAGCCTCTCAAATTTCCTGAAACCATTTCCCTTCAAGATTGATTCATCACTAGCATCTGCAATCCTAGTTTCCCCTGAAGACTCTATAGAACCCAACTCATTTTCCGATTTACTAAACCGAAAAATCAACTCCAAGGTGTCAATTAACTGCTTGGGAAAACTAACAGCATAACCAATGAAGCTAGTAGCCAAAGCAGAAAATGCAAATCCTTGAACAGCAAACAAAGAAGAAGATGTTACAGACAACAGCAATTTGATAGGGTCTCCTTGTATACATGATGATTGAGCTTTTCCAGTTCCAGCAAGTCCTAATACAATAAGATTCCATGCCAAAACCATAATCAATGGAACAGTTCCACCAATAAGAATCGCCTTTCGAGCCTCCTCAATACTATCTCCAGCAACTTTACATATAAAAGGTGTAATAACATGAAACCCTAAGGTAAGGACAGTGACAGGAATGGCAGGTAAAATGGAGAAAACATGCCAAGATGAACAGGACAAAGACCTTACAAGATTTGCTCTAGCAACTGAAACACCAATACCCACCAAAGTAATGATAGAAACAAGCATTATAAAGCACAGAAATCGATTAGTCGAATCGATTATTTGGAATGGGAAGAACCAAATTATACTCCCAAGAAATAAAGGGAAAATCCCATGTATTACTACATTGTTTAAGCTAGGAAACCATTGAGAAACAATAGAACCAATACCAGAAACACAAGCAACAAGAAGAGCAAAACTAAGGCTAGCATAAACAACTGAAACAAATGCACCAAAATGGGTACCAAAGGCCTTAATTGCTAATCCAGTAAAGCTCACTTCTTTGACCCCATCTTCCTCCATTGTAGCAAAACTAAGCTCAGCAACTAAAATTATGGAAGAAATGACATAAACCCATGAAAATAAAATGGCAATAGTAGATGGTAATGGCCCTGATCTTATTGTTGCAGATGGTAAACCTAACATTCCAGGACCCACAGCAGTCCCAATTATCAGACTAACAGCAGCCCAAAAACTCTTTTTCTCCTGTTTTATAGCATTTTGAGTAAGTTTTAAATCATCTGTTTCATCTGTAACAAAGGAATTTGCAGAAGAATGAGCAGCATTGTTGAAATTAGATTTAAAAGGCGGTATTTTTACAGTTGAAATGAAGAAAAATGGGTGCTTTATAATCTTGGAGGGGATGAATTTATGAGTAAAACTACAAGGGTTTTGCAGGGATGAAGATTTAAATTGGTTGTTGAGAGTAAGATTATTAAGGGTTAGAAGAGAAGTAGTCATTCTTTGGTGAATGGAATGCTGTGGAAGAATGTTTTTCATGGAGAGAAAAAGTGATTAAAAGATGAGTGCAGTAGAATCTTGGGATTCAGATACTGAATCAAGAATACTTTCTTTGTTTCGGATGGAGAAAGTGAAAGCAATGGGCCATGGCGGCTGTCTCTGCTAATTTGAATGTGTGTAATTTTTTTAGAAAATTCGTCAAAGAATAAGTTACTTGGAATCCTGGATACGCATGTTCATTTAACAACTTTACATGATGCCAATCATGCCATGACTTGTGACTTTGTGAGGTGGCAAAGGCCGGATCCAGATCAGTTTTTGTACACCGAATCTAGATCTAATCCAGAACCATGAGGTATGAAAAATGGGATCCATAACTATACACGTCGAGTGTTACGGATTCGAATCCAAAACAGACTCTAAATGGTTCATATACATTTTACAACTAAAGAATTAGAGGAAAGTAGTGACTTAATGATCATACAAATGCAGTTACAATGTAGTGTTTCATTTCATAAAATTGTCTAACATAATTTGGACCTCTATTTAATTAAAACACGAGTAAAGGTTACAAGAGGAGACTAAACTTTGATGTTTGTCTAAAACTAGGGATTGAACTTTGGTTTGTTGCAAAGAGGGGACTATAACTGGTTGGAAGTGGAATATTCCGTTGGGATTACCTTCACTAATCAGTTACCCTCTATTTTCGAAAAAAAAAATTTAAATGAAATGTCTGAGCTGCAACACACATTAGTAAACGTGAAAGAAAAACAAGAGCCATACAACAAGGCGGGAAAGTAAATGGACATCTAGCTAGAAGCTTCTCTTATACGCTTCCCCTATATAAACAAAGTACTACCCCCTTCCATTAGTACACTTCCATTTTCGAAAAAGCTCTTGAAAAAAAATATATTTGATGTCATGGCCTACTGGTCCCAGTCTCAACAAAGTAGCAAGACTCACGAGTGTAGAAAGTATATTCTTTATCTTTGTCTGTGCTTCATGAAGGGTGTTTTTTTTTTTAATTTTTATTTGGAGTGTAGCTCATAAAGTTTGTGCATAAAGTTCGTTTTTGTTTACTAAAACTAATAAAACAATTTATTACTTTAGCTAAGTTGTGTTGAAAATGGTGTTTGGTATGATTAATTTGTTTAGATTATGTGGTATATTTGTTTATTGTTGATTTGTTTTTGTTAATTAAATATTAAACTAGGTTAGGGTTTACGGACTTGCCCCAATTTATCAACATAAGAAACGAGAAACATCAATGTTTCTCAACATGGCAAAATGGTAAATAATAGCCTTTTTTTTTCTTTTTTTGTTGTGGCTAACTCACCCTCTTCCTCCTCCTTCAACCATCCTCATCTTCTTCAAGCTTTCCCATCATCAGTGGCAGACAAATTGCAACACCATGCCCAGTTTCTCAACATGAGAAACGAGAAACATCAATGTTTCTCAGCATGGCAAAATGGTAGGTAATAACAAACTTATTAATATTTTATTGTGTTTTTTGTGGCTGACTCACCCTCTTCCTTCTCCTTCAACCATCCTCATCTTCTTCAAGCTTTCCCATAATCAATGGCAGACGAATTGCAGCACCATACCCAATATCACCAACACCATGCCCAAAACCACGGACACCACAACAAACCCCAACCACCCCCCCCATCTCCGGCGGCTTCGCCGCCGTATTTAATGAAAACCCTAAGAAAATATACTTCCTCTGTTCTATTAATATTGCAACAACTAGACTTTTACACTATTCATCACATTTGTTTGACCACATATTATGATTTATACGTAAAGTAAAATATAGTCATGTGGGGTCTTGTTAGATTCGTCTCGTAAAATATTTTCACAATATCAACTTTTTATAATTTTACTATTTTAAAATCATAGATATTTAGCATATAAAATGTGCTTTGGGATGCGTAATTTCATCCTTTTGCAATATTTGTGGAACAGAGGAAGTATAAATTAAGGGCATGGTTAACCCTAAATGGTATATGTGTGTTGTTGTTTGTGAGATTTTTGTTCATTGTTAAAGATACTCCCGATCTACAATCTTCCTTTGTTGAATCTAAATTCTCAAACTCCATTGTTCAGGAGAGAGAGAGAGAGCAGTGAGTATGGGGTTTTTTGTTTTGCTGAAATGACGCATATACCCTTGCTTGTTTGAGCAAAAACACGAAAATACCCCTTTGAGTAACATCGTATGTTTCTCATGTTGAGAAACTTGTATTTAGCCAGGGTTTACTTAGTTTGTCAACTATGTGTGGT